GGGAGTGTGGTGTACCCGGGTGCTCACGCCCCTCCCCGGTGGCAGTAACTCGCTGCTCTCATGCACTGTGCTTGCCCTGCAGCCACTTCCAAGCTGTGAGGACTGATGTCAAGGAGGATGCCCTGGAGCTGATGATGCACGGTGGGTACCCGCTGTTTCCAGCTGAGGCCGGGGTAACGGAGAGGCTGGGCTCCTTCGGCAGCCCCCAGAAGAAATAAAGACCAGCTGGGTTGCACCCTCAGCCTATTCCAGTAATACGGGCCTGTAATCTTGGTGGACAATGCAGAGCTGTGCGTGTTCGCTGTAAGGGCAGGCCGACAGAAAATCCCCTTCCCTCTGTTCCCGGAGAATACATCCCTGGGATGCATCAGCTCACAGTGAGTGTTTCTGTCAGCTGAGAGGGGGCTGTGGGGATAGGATAGCACAGCGTTTCCAAGGTTTAGGTTGTGGGGGGAAGCCCATCTTACAGCTGGTGAGATGTGAGCACGCATCTTTGGTAATCTGATGACTGCTCTAAGTCTCCAAAACAGGATAGCTGAGGGGCCTGGCAAGGAGTGCTCATGACTTTCTGCCTCTCTTCAGTGGTGTCCCGTCATTCCAATGAACTTCCTGCCATCTTGGGTGATTCTGGGCTGAGCCACACAGACCGTGCTGCTCACCTCAATGCTCTCAAGATGAACTGCTATGTGCTGACTGGCCTGGTGGATGCCTTTGAAATGGAAACCTACAAGAATGGTTTGTTGGAAGTGGATCCTGCTGGGAAGGTAGGTGAGGGGACTAAGGGGAAAACCAAGATGATAAAAGTAGAAAACATGTTAGCTTGCTGAACTCTGTGGTATCTATCAGATGTTGTAGATGGATTTATTTGAATGTGATGCCAGCAAGAGCAGTGCATAGTGTGGAGTACTGAGATTTCTGTGTGTGTGAGCCAACACAGGCAGGATGCAGGAACAACCACAAAAAACATGGAAAAAATGTGAAAAGCAAATTTATTCTTGTTACCTTGCAAACTGGGGGATCTCTGAAGCAGCACTGGGGGCAGAGGCACGTAAGCAGGAACGCAGGCACTGCAGAGCTCAGTCCTTGCTCAAGAGTGAGAGATTCCAAACCTGCTGCTTTCATGTGTATTCATCAGGGATTTTTTGCAGGCAGAAGTTTTCCTCTGTGCTTTGGTTTTTCTCACAGCAGGGCAGGAATCCCAGGCATGTTCAGGGTGCCCCTGAGTCTATCCCAGGCTTGTGTTATTGAAATGCAGATGTTCTATTTGTCAAGCACATAAGACTAAACAATGATTAGCAGTGTGATGTATGTGGTTTTTGACACCCCAGCAGAAGTAGTTAGAGCATATTTACAGTCCTCCTTGCCAATCTCCCATTATATTCCCACACTGTGAAACTGTGTGGGAATATAATGGAAATATAACGTGGAAAACAGTTAAAGGGACAAGATGTGTCTAAATATCAGCTCAGATGCTCAGGCCTCTCTGTTTAGCTCTTCAGTGTCGGGCTGTTACTTAGCCTGCCAGTAATTTCTCAAGAGTTCCCTTCTGTAGTAAAAGATGACAGCAACCGTCATTTGCTGTGGAGATATATGCTTCTTATACATCTCACTGTGTCTCTTAATGCTGTAGAATCTAACAGTCATTTTCTGGGGGAAGCAGGGTGGTGATGGTGTTTTTTCTGTTGTCCAGCTGCTGATGTATTGCATCACATTATGTCCTTTCTAGAACAAGAAGAACCGTACCAAGGGCTCTGAATCCTTTTGGGAAAAGGAGAGGGAGCCACTCTTACAGCTGCTTACACAGCTGCTGCAGCTGGATCTTCGTCAGCTTTGGGGTGGTTTGGTGGTGGAAGAAGAGTTTGTCAGGTATGGGCTGGAGTGGATGTAGAGGTGGGATGGGTGACAGTGGTTTTCTGGAAAGGAGGGTTAAATGTTAAATCTGCCAGTGAGGTGGTATTACAGCCCTCAGCAGGGTATAGATCACTGGGAAACTGAGGAAACTGTCTTGGGGCAAAAGTGATGTGTTTGGGAACCTTTTCCTCATGTAGGCCTTTCAAATTCAGGTGGTGTTTGCTCAGTTTTTTGAGGATACTGGAGAATCTCTGGTGTGAGAGAGAGCCCATATCCTGGGCTGCAT